AATTGTAATGACTAACAAGTATTGAAAATGATGTAAAATGGCACTTGAAATAATGAAATATTGAAGGCCACTCTCACCAATATCCATTAGATTAGACTAGCGTCGAATAGCATTGTTTATTTAAAAATTACCTACTTGATTTAGTAGAAGTAAACTTGTAAACAGTAAACACTTCGTCGGTTGAAGAGTTAATCTAACCAATTAATAACAGAAAGTAAATATACGTATTGGATATAAATTGCATAATCAAGAAMCTACTTTAGCACTGACAATCTCTWAAATGATGCACTTGCAATAGGTACTACAAACCATATATCGTAGCGACTATGATAAAATATTAATACAATAGCATACCTACCTCTGTAGATATTTTAACCTCTAACTCATAAAGTAATAATTTAATATTCATACTTATTCAAGTTTTTCATCCATTGGTATACTGCAGACTGATTTATCTATAATATGTATATGTTACTCAAGCTACCTACTCATTCGAATTTTGATTTATTTATATCAACAATAAAAAAAAAAATCATCTGCTTAACAATTATTTACAATAAAAACGACTGACTCTTATTAGTCTTATTTGAAAAGAAAAAACAAGGTTGAATCACCACATCGCAGTATTGAATTATATGGAAAATTAAATTATGATACATCATCATCATCGCTGGCGTTTATAACTCTATTTATAGTTTTGCCTCCAACACTATGTGTCTATGTCCCTCCATTTCTCTCGATCTTGGATAATTTCCTTCTATTCTTTTACTCCCACAGTTTTAAGATCCTCTTCAACTATATCAAGCCATCTCTTCCTTGGGCTGCCTCGAGATGTCTTCCCKTCTGGTTTCCATTCTATCACTGCCCTTATGGTTTCTTCTTCGCTTTTTCTCATTAGGTATGTGCCTAAAACCAATGTAATCTTTGTCCTTTTATTTATTATTAATTATGATTCACACAATTTRAATAATTTAAAATATGGCAACTAAGTACTTAAGTACTCAAACATTCATGAAATCATGATTAGAATAAATATATTATTAAAGGAAATAATTGAGAAACTTAATTTTACTTTGAAAAATCGGTAAAATTTCATTTAATTAGTAGTGTTATGTTATTTTTATGTTATAGGTGAATGCAGCAATAACAATTGTGTTGAAGACAGCGCTTCTGTCATAAATAAGTGGTCACTGCCACTTTTACGATCGGGAGATAAAAAATTATACTTGGGAATATTTTTTAAGGTATCTAACTATAAAAAAAAAAATCGCTTTTAAAATCACAAAAGAATGTCTAAATCGCCTATTTTTATGAATTATAGGCTAATTGGTATAAAGCCGCACAATATTGCAGATATCATGGAATGCATTTGGCAAGCATAAGTAGCCAAGAAGAGAATGACAAGTTGGAAAAATACATTAAAGATAATGGTAAGAACATGCGTACTAGCGTACTCGATAAATAAATAATCGTAAACTAACTACCTAACTGTAGGTACTTATTTAGCTATTTATAACTTTTGGAAAGAGTGTAGTGTATAATTATTATAAATTATTACGAAATTTGATATTTTTTAGGTTTAGGCCATGAACACTTTTGGACCTCTGGTACAGATCAAGCAGAAGAAGGATCATTCTTTTGGTTGGCCAATGGCCGACCAATTGGATACACTAACTGGAATGCTGGCGAACCAAACAATTTTAAATATGAAAATGGTGAAGAGGAACATTGTTTAGAATTATGGAATCGAGATGGAAAAGGTTTAAAATGGAACGATTCGCCATGCTCATTTGAAACCTTTTTTGTATGTGAAATGTGAAGAACTAAAAAAACATCATTAGGAATAATTCTATTAAAAATTGTACTATAAAAATATTGAGCATTACTATAATTTATAATTTTATCACATTATGATTAATTTGTAAATAATTGCATTAGAAAAATCTCTCAATTTAGACATAATTATTTAAATAAAAAAGTTTCTAAACTAATTATTACGATATTGTATCACGTAGTAAGTTGCTAGTTAAGAAATCAATAAGAAAAATACTTTTAAATATAAACATAGTTATGTTTACGTTTATTTTGTAATATCAAATAAAACAAAATTGTANATTAATATGCTTTGATTAAAATTATACGACGAATATAATATACATACCTCGTATACATTTTATTACCAACCAGTGTGTGTTTAATACAAGTTCACATATTATGTATATATAGGTACCTATAACCAAATGTTTAACATATTGTTACATACCTATATATCAATCACTCAAAAATACCTATACCAGTTATACCTATGCTCAATATATTACAATGTATAGAGTACCCATATGGAGTATATTGTTTTTAAAAAACATTTTAGAAGGTTACGTTTGAACCTTGAACCTATATTAGAGTGCGACGAGTTACAATACCTCGAGGGTCTGAAATCAAAATAAACCTCGCGACTAATGTTAAAATAAAATGTGTAATGGACCTACTAATGTAGATCGTATGCGACGTATGATGTATATTAGATATACAGGCAAACTATAGGTTAGGTGTGTGTGACACTGAACGGATGGATGGTATTATATTTTTATAATTTTTTTTTTGTCCTATTAAAGTTCGCCAGCCTTAACAGGATAAACAAAACAAAAAAAGTTAAAATATAATACCTCAATCAATTGGTATGAGAGTTCTAATATTTTCTTAATTTATTTACCCGTACACAGATATTATATAGACGTGCATTAAACAGAATAATATACATATGTATTCAGTGGCTATTCAACAAAATAGTATTAAAACAATTAGATATAGGAATATATAATTGTAATCAATACCACTCAATTTCTTAGAAATGGATATAAATGGAAAACGCCCTCTAACAACTTTTTCTTTCATAATTGTCGAAACTAATTGTAAACAAAGTTTTCTTTAAATAAAAAAAAAACAACTTTTTTCACTTTATTGTGGTATACACAATCTGTACCACGAAGGTACAATGAGCCGAGTATTAGCAAAAATATAAAGTAAAATCATGAATCAACTTGATGAAAATAGCCACACATCGATGACACTTTTAAATGATTTTTTTTTAAAACTAATTCAACTATATCATACACACATTTATTTTATCCTTATTTTGTTACCATATCTCTGCACCTGCAGTTACGTTTTAAATGCCTCGGAAGATTAACCGGAATAACTTTTGTTGAGATATCTTTAATTAGGATATTGGAATGGGATGCAAGACGATTGTAGAATCTTTTATAATAAGCTATTGATTCTTCTAATCTCACAACTTAGAAAAAAAAAAACAATGTTCTCTCGAAATTTTCAATATACAACACAGTGGTGTCGAACCCTATATTAAGGTCAGACCATGGCCCGATATATTTTGAAAAATTTAGGATAGGGCCACTTCATATTGACCATTTTCCTCTCCGCGGTACGCTGTTTTTGCCAATATTAAGATATTGGGCCTCTTGAATTATTTTTCGCCTAACTAGATTTTTGAGACTTCAGCACCACCACTGGCACAACATAAAATTATATCATAATCAAGAATACAAGTAGGTACACGCTGACATTATTCATACTCACTGACATACTCCACATAAGTACGGCACCTATAAAAATAATAATTAAAAATACCTATTACTGATATTATAGGTAGGTACCTACGAACAACACATATTTTATATGAAAATTATTATAGACGATTTTTTAGTAATATTTAAACCCAAACAAAATGGTGTATTTTTTACGCAAATATCACGTTCGCAGTTACTTATATTTTAGACTATATTTTAAATATTAAATCACAT